ATGCCGTCACCATTTTAGGGCACTATATAATATATAGTTTTTTTTTCAATATAGCGTGTAAGTGGATTATTCAAGGACCGAATTATATTTTACCGGTAAATTTACAAGGAAATCGAAATTTATACTATTTTCAAGACTTAATCTGCCTAAAGGACCTATGTGTAATGTATTTGAAAACCAACATTTACCATGGGTGGGATATTTATGTGGTCAGTATCTCAAGAAACTTTGGATCTTTTCACCGAGATGATCGCATTAACATCATTCCAATTTTCAAAACTTTAACAAATCCAACCAAATAGTAATAGTTAACATATATATATGACGTATATGTATTATTTTGGTATATACTTAATTTTAAGCAGTTTATAAATCTTGTAATAGTAAACAATTATACGTAAATCATAAAAACCAAATGTGTATTTTTTAATCAATAAAGAGTGTAGAAGTTTTAAAATAATTTATGGATTAAAGAATAGTAATTTGGTAAACTTTTTAATATAAGAAATTAAAACTTTGATTTCTATAATAATTGTAAAAATAATATCTTGAACCTGAAAAACTTTTGAGTTTCACTTGAATTGTCACGAAGGTTTTGTTAAACACAGAAAAAATCTACTCTGGTAAATGGAGTGTGAAATAGTGGGTAAAATATTGAATATTAGAACGGTTCAAATTATCTCTATTGTATATTAGCATTTTTTTTCCGTCGCTAACAGTAATGCTTTATTGGCTTGCAAAACGATTATGCTGAAATAATAGTACCCGTTAGAGGCTTATTTGACAGCTTTCAATATTTATACCACATATATATCGATTATCTGTCTCTTTATTCCATAAAAATCTGTTCGCAAAATTCACGACGTTAAATCAATGTGATGAGAGAGTTCGTGTACGGTATAATATAGGACATATACCTGACATACTGTAAATACTGCATAGTACACAGTATATTGGTTATATTATTTATTTCTACGAACTGTATAGGTCATTAAATTAATTACTCATAGTCGTACATATCTGATGAACAAGTTTAATAAAACTAAATGGTTTCAACTCAGTTGGTTCACTAAATACCATTTTCTATTTTTTTTTTTTTTTTTTTTTATGTTTGTACTTTTAAATTATTTTCATTATCATACGTACAAAAGAAAATATAGAATTTTTATAAATAGATATCGTTGTCTGAAATATTCTTCCAGACGAATGTTTATGTGGAGTATGTTAAAATTTTGAAGCAAACATTTTTAGAATTTTATGTATTGTAGAGTAAATTATTATTTGAATAAAATGAAATTTTGTGCAAAATTTTTATTTGAATCAATACATATTAAATACGTTGGGAATGGTTTAATGGTAATTACAGATTAATATTGGCATAGTTTGAGGATTATAAAACGAAAATTACCAACTATTCCGTTTGTCGATTTAAATCGTAATAATTTCAAAATTTAATAATATATTTAATTTTAATAAATAAAAATAATACAATACGATTTGTTTGCATTTGATGTAATTTTTTAAATATATTTTTTTAAATAGTTTGTAAATAATGAGTAAGTCTTTTTTTTTTTATCTTATATGCGAACAAATTATCTTGATAAAGTATCTGTTTAATCTACCAAAATGTTTTACCCACCGAGTACGTGACTTTCTGAAATATTTAAAAGTTTATATATATTACTATGTATCACATATGTTTGGGTTATTTATTTTTTTTAGTATTCTAATGAGCTATATTTTTTAAAGATACTATCTGAACCGCGTTATATTATTGTATTCACACCATCACAGTGACATGTCATGTAATACTTACATTATTATTATTATTATTTACAAGTTCTTTTGAATACAAAAAAATGTATTTCATAAGCTATTAATCATTTTCATCTTTCCGGAACTCAATATCTATTTTTATTGGAAATAATATTACAAGGCAGTGCACATGCTTTATAACACATATTATTATTTTCCTTTTATGGCATCAAATTTTTAAGTTTAACATAAAACATCGATATTAAATCTCATATTTTAATAAGAAAACGAGCGTATAAAATATTATTGCTTCGCAGTTGTGCTATTGTTGAAGTTGATTTCGTGAAATAATAAAACTGAATTGAGAATTTATGTCTCATAATCTATTTATATTAAATTATTATATTTATTTATATTTTATAACTATTGACGAACTTTTTCTACTGAATCAATATTTTTTAATTGTAGAACATTTAAAATAAAACTTCCATATGAACAATTTTTAAAAACAATTTTTAAAGTTTTTATCAACGTCCAATTCAATAATAGTCGTATACAGGTACTCGTACACAGTTTAAAGTATTTTTTCATAGCATTGAAAATAATTTCAAATCGATATTAGATTGATTTTAATATGTTAAAACATTTTATTTCGTAGTGAGTACCTATTACCACATACATAATAATCTTTTGAGTCATCAAGTTTTTATGAAGTTACAATTTTCAGAGACAATCGGTCAAATTCATCTTAAAAATATAATTTTACGATTTAGTATTGTAAACATTATCGCTCAGTGATCATTATGTAATTTAAATGTTAACACAACTTGCATTCTTTTTTTTTTTTTGCTTTTTATTAAGTTTGATATTTTTAAGCTAGACCATCTACATATGCATAAAATACACAATAGTATATTTCCGAATAAAAATAAATCAAATCATTACGCTATAATTTTAATGGAAAAATGAAATTTATGAGCGTAATTTATCAAAATAATCAAAATAGTTGTATACAACAATAAGAAAGAAGCATCGACAAAGCAATAACAGAAATAAATAAGAAAAATAAATATTTTAAAGAAAAAAAATAGCAAATATGTTGGAATTTATCACAAAAATTGGTAAATAAAAGTGATACCATGTATAGAAATTTTAGCGAAATATTTATTGCCAAAAAGAATGAAGTGCGTATATTTTATCCACATCATAACATAAATACTGAGGTATTAATTATTATATGAACTTTGTAAGTAGGCCAAAAAAGTGTGTACAATTTTTACTACAGAATTATTACGAAGATGAATGTATTTCGAGAACGATAATCACGTAAGAGCTTGTGAACTAAAATGTATTAAATGTTTTATTCAGGACTGGTACTATAATATATTAAAATTATATTTGGACATGAATTACGTTTTGTTGAGGTAAGTTCTTTTAGCGATCGGAAATGCACATTCAACACGATAGCGTACATGTAATCCTACGTTTTATTTATTTGCATTCGTAATCTATTCAGAAGTTTCTCGATACCTACTTGTTTTTGATCGGATAACGTAGGCGTATAATTAAAATAAAAACCGATTGAGTTTTTTGAGTTCACCTTTATCCCATACATAGGCCACTTATACGTGTTTAAATTTAAAATATATTGTTTATAACTATTTTTCATCAGTTGTACACAGTGGCGCAGCTAAGATTTTCTGAAGGGGGGTGTTAATTATAATTATTAAATGTTATATATAATACGTACAAATTAAAACATAATACCTGTAATAGAGATGTAATGTATATTCGAATTCGGATAGCTTTACCATAAATTATTCGAATATTTGACTATTCGAATATCAGTATTCGATGCTACAATACCTATTATTATTAAACGTTTTGTGTTGCACGAAAACGTAAACGAATAATTTTCGTCACGTATTGTCGCAATCGCGATAATGTTAACCTGTATATATGTAATTAGTATTGTGCATTATTTTATATTTCATATTGTATTATCGATTTACCTATATTCCTATAATAATGTAATATATGATACGGCTCAAGGGGGGTGTCATATCTACCAAACACCCCCCTTGTATACGCCACTGGTTGTACATAAATAATTTAACATCAACAAATTAAATATCTACAACTCGAGTTCAAATAAACATCAATCGTATTAAACTAGCAAAAATTAATAACTAACTATATTTTGATAAAAACACGAACGAAATGTAACGATGGCTTTGAGTATCGAATCACGTTATATTTTATGTCTTATTAAAAAAAAAAAAAAATCATAAAAATAAAAATTTTAACAAGAGCAATTTTCTTACCCGGGAACTTTTTAATTTCTTCTGAGCACTACAACGAGGATATAAAATCATTAATAATTCTACGATAACCGGTAGAGGCGTTGAAAATTTTTTACAATGCATAAATGAGACTGTATACTGAATATTTTGTTCCCGTGTTGAAAGGACGTATTAATATGCATTAAATAATTAAGACGAGTTTCTGTATTCAAGTGCGACAGGGGATTTTTTTATCCTGCACGGTTATAAAATCGATCGTTTGACTTGTAGTAAACATTATTTAACAATAGAGTTACGCGACGCGAATGAGTAAAACAGAAAACTGCAATTGAAAAACTTATGAAATGATACAGTTGGTGCAGTGCGCGCCAACTACACGGGTCATAGTTGTTATTTTCGCGCTCGAGACAAAACTTAATTCATGCGTCTCCGTATTATCTAATCCTACTAACAGCAATCTTACGGAGTTCCTATCCGCATGGTAAAATAAATTTAAAAATTAAATGCATTTTTTTTTTTTACGTTTCGTTTTGATTTTTGCTACTGTTCCATAAACGTCGGTTCTCGAGCGGTTTAAATTAGGTTTTCAACCTAATATCAAACCTTTTGTGCTTTCGAGCTGAAAACTCTGCTCGAGCACGCCCGGTATAAGCCAGTTACGTGCGGTCTGTATACAAAATATGTGTAAAGAGAAAATTGTCGTCCAATACCGGGGACCGTAAACATGTGTGACCGAAGAAATTAGCGTTCGAAAAGTGGTTCGGTGCTGTACGGCAGTTCACGTGTATAACTGGTGCGTACAACGCGCGCGCGCACCCTGCACCCCCTGAAGTATCGCTACGAACGATTATAAGAAAATGGGCCGAATCGGCTCGCACATTCGGGGCACCATCGTCGCGGGCGGTGTTGAAAGCGAAGAGAGAAGACGGATGCGACACTAACCTATCGTCGCGGCGCGACGCGTCCGGTCGGGGCGGCGCGAACGACACGGTGGACGTGCGCTGCAGTTCCATGACGGTAGCAGTTCCGCGGCCGGGGAACGCGGCCGACGACGGCGACTTTTTCGCCGCCCCGTACAGCTGCCTGTAGTACTTCTCCTGGTCGCCGTACATCCAGCACACTTTCCACCATTGGCGGCACATCAGCACGTTGGACGCGGCGGTCGACTTGGTGGCCGCGGGCGACGCGGTGGACGCGGTGGACGACGGGCCGGCGGCGGCGGTGGTAGTCATCGCGGTGGTCACCTCGTGGTACACGGACACGACACCCATTCGCTGGGCGGCGAAGGGAAACGCAAGAAGACGCGAAATACTCCGTCGCACGGGACGCGCGGCCGCTGTGCTGCGCAGGCTACCGGTCGGTCTCGGACACTGCGGTCCGCGTTGCCGCCGAGCGCACACGGTCACCACCGCCGCACCGCCTCCTCCTACCCGTCCACGGTCGAAACGCACACGCACGCATCACGCGTGGTGGGGGCACGTACCCGGCGGCGGATCGGCCTCCTGCGACCGTCCTTTTCCGTTCGCGCGCGCAACGACGACGACGACGCCGGTACATATTTCCCTCCGACGGACGCCTCGCGTGTACAGGTGCACGCAGGTATGTTTACACGGTTCGGCCGTAAAATTAGACGGTCCGCATTCGCGCGCGCAGGTACCTAATCGCCACTACCTGCACCGGGTGCCCACGTGCGCGTACGTGCGCCGCAACGGTCCCCAGGGCCGGGACAGCATCTCCATCATGTTGTTCTGGTATTTTTTTTCCTTATCGTTATTATTTTTTTTTTTTCCATTATTTTTCCCCTCGACGGATCCGACGCGGTGAAATGCAATGCGAGACCTTCGTAACAATACGACCCGTAAGAACGGACGCCGTGTAGGGTCGACAGGGTACTCCGAACATGGAATACCTTCGCGCGTGTGTCAGTGCGACCGAACACTGCACCGGTGGCATTATGACGTGCGCACGTAGAAACCTTATCCGAGCGCGCGGTGAGGGTGACGCGGTTCTCGGACGCACAGCCGCTGGGAGGGTCGTTCGTTTTACGTTCGTGCGCAACGGTTTCCCCGACGCGTCACTGGCAGAGGTGGAACTAGGAATTTTAACGCCCGGGGAAAATGTTACGATCACGCCCAATCACAGACCAATAATCGAATACTCTTCTCGAGAATTTTTTTCTACTAATTAATATGCAATTATATTGAGTTTTAACCCAATATCAGTATTCAACAAAGTTAATAACATCGAATCGGTCGTTAATAATTACAAAAATTACACGCTCTAAAATCGTACGACCGCGAAGGAATCACCGTCCTCCACCCACTAGTACCGTCGCTGGTCACTGGCCGTTTAACCGATCGCGTTCCGAGAGGCATTTTTCGGCCGGCACGTTCCCGGGTCGATTCGACGTCACGGGCACCGTGACGATGTCGACGAATTAACCGACCGCGCGCGCCCCGTCGGAGACGCACGCCGTCTCGCGTAACGACTCATTACGCGTCGAGCGTTTCGATTACGTGACGACCACGACCACGGCGATTCGCGCTGCTGCTTTGCAATGGAAATGGTTTTCCGTCGAAGACGTGACAAACGTGCCGTCGCCGAACGACAAAACGTTCCTCGAAATGTTCCTGTTGACGAGGTGCATGTGTTTATGTGTTATGAAATAATAGTGCTGCGCGTGACGTGTAGTTAATTGTTTTCGACGATGTGCCCACGCGGATTTTTCTCCTGCGAGCACATATTTCCGCCTAATTCAACGCGCCCCGTAAAACGATTGCACGTTCGTAGAAAACCGCGGTCACCCGAACGCATAACATTCCGAAAACACCGTTTTGTCGATATATCGATCCCGAGTTGATTTCGAGGCACTTAAACAAAGTGTTTTCGAACAAGAACTATTATCACCAGTACAGTCTAAGGTCAGTAACATTTCATTATTTTTTTCCTAACACTTCACGTATAAAGAAAGTTAAAAGAAAAAAAAAAATGATTATAAATATCAATGTTTGATTAAAATAAAAAATAATAAAATTAAAATATTAAAGTTAAACGTTTTTCAATTATTTACGACTTAGGTGAAATTTTAAAACATTATTTATAAGGCGTGCAAGATTATCAATTGATCATAATTAATGGTTCTATAGGAGTGCGCAGTTTTAAGTCAGAGGCAGAGAATATTTTTATCGGTCCATTTTGTTCATACAAGCGGCATAATATTAGACATAGTTTACTGTAGAAGTGTGTAGATACTGTTTGATTTTTTAACCTATTATCTATTAAAACATAGAAAAGATTAGCTTGATAATTCAATGCGCTTTTTGGATAAACAAATTTATTTTTTAATGAGCATTATACGATAGCCCATTTTAGACTGTTTGACCCTTACAAATCTATTTAAACCGTTCAGGGGTAGCAAGAGCATATACCTGCTATCTTTGTGCGTACTCCTATGAATGGTTTATATAAATTGAAAAATATATCATTCATGTTTTTACAAACACTTGGATTAATACATTTACTTATATTTTAATGATTAAATATTTCTAAATAAAGAGCCAAGTATGTTGTTTACATGTTATTATTATAATATTATAATTGTATATTAACACGGTATATTATTTTAACAATAAAGATATAGAAAAATTTTCTACGTATGCAATACTAGCTTTTGGTGTGCTAAAAATGTTGACTAAAAAAGATCTTGGAGCTCAATTATTGATAAATCAATATCAGTATTTAATATACATTTTCTAATTTTATATATGAAATTTCAAGGTATTTTATATTTAACATAAATATGAATGATTGATTAACTTTTTTAAAGTAATAAGTATTTTATTTTATAATAACAAAAAATACATAATGGATACACATACTCGTATAATATAATATCATAAGATCTTATAATGTAATAATTGTCATTAATACTTTTAAAACGTAATACCTATCATCTTATATTCTTACGATAAAAAATAGTAAATATTCTTTGAGTACTAAGTGTTATGATAGTTAAATGATTAATAATCATAACAAATATCAATATCATCTGCAGTCATTAAGAGTACATATACAAAGATAAATATGTTCGTTTATTAACGATTATTATAGAATACACAAAAATGTAACCATCGAAATTCAAATAATAATTGTTTTATCAAAAAAAGTAATTATAAAATATGTAGATATACTTAAAAATAATGATAAGTGTATATTATTATAAGTAATAAAATTAGCTTTTAATAAAATCAATATAAAATGAAAAATAGCTTTACATTGTATTTGTTATGCTAATAATATTGTAAAAGCATAAATTCCAACAATGTTTTGATACTTTAATTAAATGAAAAATTTCAGATAAAATTGTTTTAGTGAGGTTAACCCTATAATTTGAACTGATTTTATTAAAACTAATGTACTCAAAAAATATACTATTAAAAAAAAAAAAAAACATATTTTATGGTAAAAATAAACTATAATTAGATGTATTATAAAATATTATCGACATTTATGTTAATAAAAAAAAAAAAAAAAACTATTGATTATACTTACTTCTTTTATTAAAACAAACAGAAATTTTATGAAAAAATAATAGTTACCGTAACTAAATATCATACTTTATTTTACTATAATTTAGTGTAAAAAAATGTTAAAATATTATAAGACTACATTAAACATAAGGTTTAACTTACTTATAAAACTAAATAATTTTTTATTTTAAGAACCGGTTGTTATTAGTTATTGAGATTTTAATGCTCGAAAATTAAATTTAAAATTAGTAAAGAAAAACTAAATTTTTTTAATAAACTAAACTCGAGGTAATTTTGTTCAGCTTGAATAATTTAGCTCACAAAATAATGACTATTTAATGTATATAAAAAATATATACTTTCAATAATATTAATAAATGTATAATATTTAGTTACTTTGGCTATGGTACGACGATATTCTATATTAATGGGGTTTAATGAAATGAAAAAAAAAAAGGATAAAACTTTCTAGAAGCTGTCGGATATTTCCTTGGTCATAAAAAAGACTATAAAAATTGTAGTTTTTTGAAGGAAATAGGCAGCTCATAAAAGTTACTGAATTTGAATTATAACATAAATAATAAGAGCAGAATAATATTATATTTAATAATGTAAAGAAAATGGTTCTATTAAATTTTGAAGCTTATTCATCTCCAAGATACGTTTTTATATCGAAAGTAGTTGATAAAAAAGTTAAAGCCAAATCAATATATTTTGTCTTTATGTATTTAATATAATATTTTTCAGTAAAGTAGGTATTATTCTTTTCGAGAAATAATAATAATTTGGAAATTTGCAGCAATTTAAGTTTATTGTAATACAATTTTTTTTTCTATAAATAACTCATAATATGATTACTTATCTAATTAAGGATAGGGGGGGGGCTATCAAGAGAAAAATACTGCAAAAGGTGCAAAAGGCTTCGGGATAATATTGCATAGTTTAAACTTCCCTTTAACACAACAGTCTAAATAACGGTTTAGTAAAATGAAAAAAAATATATTCATTTATAGTTATTTTCATTTGACATTAACGAATTTCTAAAATAATGAGTAATTACTTTCATAATTTATATTCTTATTTTAATATAAAATCAGAAAATATATAACATATGGCTTACAAATGATTGTATCACTCATAATACCAATTTTATTATTTTTATTTTTATTTTTTAGGTTTGGTAAAATGGAAAATTATATTTTACACTAACCTAATTGTATGTAAAACGAATGAGATTGTCTTACTTTATAATATTATTATGATTGCATAACAATGAAACACAAATAGCAACATAGTTACTGACTGTTTCCTAGGCGAGGCAAATATTTAATAAATTAACAAACGATAAATATGCGTAAATAACTAATTTTTTATGAGTCATTTGTAAATTTAATTTTATTACTGGTTTTATGTCATTGTATTGTTGTGACAAAAAAGTAGCTGAATTTTATAATTACTTTTGATACATCAAATATGGTGAATGTTGAAGGTTAAGTGTTTAGCAGGTTTATATTTTATTTTACTTTTGAGTTTGCTATAAAATTTTACAAACATATAGGTAATTATAAGTCATAAAATAGTGCACTTTTGAAGAAAAATTTGTATTATAATATAATTAAGTAATGAAAAATACATAGATTAACAAAAAAAAAAACAAATTTGATCAATAAAAATGAAAGTTACTTATATGTGAAATGTATTCTTACTAATAATTTGACCAAACAATCACAAAGTATGAAAAATTACTTTTACGTAATTTTATAATTTTTTATTATTTAATATATATTATAATATTGATGAAAAATTGTATTTCTACATAAACGATTAAAGAAATTCTTACGTATATTTATGTTA